GGAGAATGATGAAAAATTTTTGAGGATTTTTGTCTAAGTACATATACTAAATAAGCTTAGGCTGATGAGAACTTTCATATTTTTACAGTTATTTAAATTCAGGAAAGTAGCAACTTTCAAATTTTAAAAGGTATCTTCATTATTGAGATCAATTAACCGTAAAAGTTAAAAGCTGTCACTTTCCATAACTAAAAGCACCAAGTGTCTCTTCGCCTAATATCCAGGTAGTAAGTGGAAATTGCTCATCAAAATTGAGAAATATTTCAACTCATTCCACCAAACCCAAATTCCTACAATTAATACGCCAAATAAAACGTTTAAATGTATAGAGTAATACTATAATTTTTCAACAAAAAATAAAAAGCACAATAGTACTATTTTATATATGTATTTTATAGAAACTAACTAGACTTTAGTGATGGAAAAAAATGTGCAGAAAACTAAACGCAGAGACCATTAAACATTTCGTTATACAGAATACATGTCATAGTTCAAAATTCTTCTACTTCACCTCACTCCTTAGACCAAAACGAAAGGTAGAAAGGTATGTTAGTAAACTGTATTTGTAAAATAATTTTAAAGAAGATAAAATACCATATAAACAGAATGTAAAAGAAACAGAATTTAATCCGAGCCCACTGAATTCACAGTATTTCCTTAAGGAATTTAATCCCCTCCTAGTACCCAAGATTGTTGATTATTTCCTCCCAGGATAGAACGAATTACACACTGGTGTAGCGGCACTTCAAACCCCACTGTTTCAGCGAACACAAAGATCGGTAGCAAATCACACTTACTATTGCTTTCTTTGTAGTTAAAATAATGCAAAAGAAAGGAGGAGAATTCAGAAATTCATATGGAAAATCTGAGAGAATGAGTTGCTATGTATAGCCAATATGATGAGTTCAAATTGAAGAGGTGCAATTCTTCAGAAGGGCTATCATGACCATTTACGCAAATGGACATAACATAAATGTCTATTTACGCAACAATAAAACGGGAATTCAAAACCTTATTTTCCGTTACAAAAACGGAAAATGGACGGGAAGGAAACTTAATTTTCCGTTACAAAAAACGAAAAACAGACGTTGAGGAAACGGATAATTAATAATATTACGTTAATATTTCCTATTAACAAATAAATTCGATCAAAAAAATTTATCAATCAATCATTTGACCAAATTCAAATCCAAATCCAAATCTGAAGCCGAAGTTGAGCGACGACAACGGCGCGAGGCTTGCCTTCTTCTTAACTCTTTAAGAGCTGGAAGAAGAGCAATTGTATATATACCCATCACAAATCTTTTCCTCTTCCATTTCCCTTTGTCAAGGAGAGAAACTCAAATATTTCATTTTCCCTCCATTTCCCATTCACCCTCTTTTAAGTTTATTTTAGCTTAAAAAACTCAACAATCCCCCACATGAATGGGAAATGACTATATCACGGAAATATGCATGAAAAACTGTGTGATTCGCAAGCAAGGATTGATCGCATCTGGATAAGTAGGTTTTCCTTTGAACTTTCCGTAGTGAACTTATGTCGGATATACTCGGTCAATCGATAGATTTGATATCTTTGAACCGTCAAGCTTTGTGTATACCTAGACAACCATAAGTCACACAATCAACCCTTAACCGTCTTTGGTTCTCATTGTTGTGTTCGTTTCAGTCATGAACATCGTCGGGTTTCATAAGTGCATAGAGAATTGTCCTTACAAAAGTCTCCTTGAAGCGGCTAACACTTTACACTTACATAGGTGATTCCTAAACGCGTCATCCTGTAGATACACTATTTGATATACCCCGTATCAAATTTAGAAAGTACTAAAAATCCTTAATGCTAACTCCTTGGTACTGAACATTGTCACATCACAAGAATGGACCAAAATTTTAGTTGACAACGTTGAACCGTTATTAATGACTTTGTTTGATCTTCTTGAACCTAGATCTTGGGATCTCCAGTCTTCTAGGTAGAGTTACCGCCACAATAACTTGTTCTCGGCCATAGTCCCATTCCCCTCGATGATTTCTCAACTACCTCTCTAGTTAGGCCTTTTGTAAGTGGATCCGACACATTATCACTTGACTTTACGTATTCAATCGTGATAATTCCTCTAGAGAGTAATTGCCTAACGGTTTTATGTCTTCGTCGTATATGACGAGATTTACCGTTATACATAACGCTCCCAACTCTTCCAATTGCCGCTTGACTATCGCAATGTATGCGTATTTATGCCAACGGTTTGGGCCAAAATGGAATGTCTTCCAAGAAATTCCGAAGCCATTCAGCTTCTTCACCGGCTTTATCTAAGGCTATGAACTCAGCTTCCATTGTAGAGCGGGCAATACAAGTTTGTTTGCACGACTTCCAAGATACCGCTCCTCCATCAATAGTGAATACATATCCACTTGTGGACATAGAATCAGTTTAACCGGTGATCCAATTTGCATCACAGTATCCCTCAATCACCGCAGGATATTTACTGTCGCGCTAAGCAAAGTCCTGGGTATGTTCTAAATATCCCAAAACTCGTTTCATTGCTATCCAATGAGATTGAACTGGATTGCTCGTGTATCGACTCAATTTACTTATAGCACAAGCTATATCTGGTCGTGTACAATTCATGATATACATTAAGCATCCCAACACACGAACATAATCCAATTTTGATATGCTTTGGCCTTTGTTCTTTGCTAATGCAAGATTCACGTCAATTGGAGTCTTTGCAACTTTAAACCCTAAGTGCTTGAATATTCCAAGTACTATCTTAATATAATGAGATTGTGATAATGCCAGACCTTGAGGAGTCTTATGGATCTTAATCCCCAAAATTAAATCAGCAACTCCCAAGTCCTTCATATCAAACTTGCTAATTAGCATACGCTTAGTCGCATTTATGTTGGCAATGTCATTACTCATTATCAGCATATCATCCACATATTAGCAAACAATGACTATTTGATTTAGAACATTTTTAATGTACACACATTTATCACATTCATTTATCTTAAAACCATTTGACAACATTGTTTGGTCAAATTTTGCATGCCATTGTTTGGGTGCTTGTTTTAGTCCATAAAGGGACTTAACAAGTCTACATACCTTCTTTTCTTTACCTGGAACCACAAACCCTTCAAGTTGTTCCATGTAGATTTCTTTCTCCAAATCTCCATTTAAGAAGGCTGTCTTAACATCCATTTGATGAATTTCAAGACCATAAACTGCAGCTAATGCTACTAACATTCGTATGGACGTAATTCTTGTAACTGGAGGGTATGTATCAAAATAGTCAAGACCTTCTCGCTGTCTATACCCTTTGACTACAAGTCTTGCCTTATATTTATCAATAGTGCCATCATCTTTCATTTTCGTCTTAAAAATCCATTTAGAACCCAAAGGTTTATTTCCAGGAGGAAGAGCAACCAATTTCCATGTATGGTTGTTCAATATGGATTCTATTTCACTATTGACTACCTCTTTCCAAAATAATGATTCCGAAGAAGACATAGCTTCTTTAAATGTTCGAGGCTCATTTTCTAATAAGAAAGTCACAAAATCTAGTCCAAATGAAGTAGACGTTCTTTGACGTTTACTACGTCTTGGATCCTCCTAATTAAATGTACTTTCTTTTGTTTCTTCCCGAGGACGTTTAGATCCTTCACCAATCGACTCACATTCCTTTTTATATAGATATATATTTTCAAAGAACTCAGCATTATCTGATTCTATAACCGTATTATTATGAATGTTGGGATTTTCTGATTTATGAACCAGAAATGGATATGCTTTACTGTTGGTCGCATATCCTATGAAAACACAATTGATGGTTTTCGGTCCTATTTTTACCCTTTTGGGTTTAAGAACTTGCACTTTTGCCAAACACTCCCACACCTTGTAATAATTCAAGTTGAGCTTCCTCCTTTCCATTTTTCATATGGAATCGATTGCGTTTTGCTATGGCGTACTCGATTTAGTATCCGGTTAGCCGTAAGAACGGCTTCCCCCCACAAGTTCTGTGGCAAACCAGAACTTATCAACAATGCGTTCTTCATCTCCTTTAATGAAAGATTCTTTCTTTCCGCAATCCCATTGGATTGGGGCGTGTAAGGGGCCGTTGTTTGATGAATAATATCATATTCTAAACATATTTCTTCAAAAGGAGATTCATATTCACCACCCTTATCACTTCTTATCATTTCGATTTTCTTCTTAAGTTGCGTTTCAACTTCATTTTTGTATTGCCTGAATGCGTCTATTGCTTCATCTTTACTATTAAGTAAGTAAACATAGCAATATCGAGTACTGTCATCAATAAAAGTTATGAAATACTTCTTTCCACTGCGAGATGGTATTGACTTCATGTCGCAAATATATGTGTGAATTAAATCTAAAGTATTTGAATTCCTTTCAACTGAATTATAAGGATGTTTAACATACTTAGATTCCACACATATTTGACATTTTGATGTCGCATTCAAACTTAGTCAATACTTCCAAGTTAATCATTTTCCGCAAGGTTTTATAATTGACATGGCGCAAATGTATATGCCATAAATCATTTGACTCAAGCAAGCAAGAAGAAGCTGAAATTTTATTATTCTCAACTACCATTACATTCAGCTTGAAAAGGCCCTCCGTGAGATAACCTTTTCCTACAAACATTTCATTCTTACTTATTACAACCTTATTAGATACAAAAACACATTTAAACCTGTTCTTAACAAGAAGTCCAGCAGAGACTAAGTTCTTCCTAATCTCGGGAACATGAAGGACGTTGTTCAGAGTCACCACCTTGCTAGAAGTCATTTTCAAAAATATCTTCCCACATCCTTCAATTTTGGCCGTTGCAGAATTTCCCATAGAAAGCGTCTCTTCGGGTCCAACGGGAGCATATGTAGCAAACATTTCTCTAACGGCACAAACATGGCGAGTGGCTCCAGAATCAATCCACCACTCCTTAGGATTTCCCACCAGGTTGCATTCAGAAAGCATATCACACAAGTCATCAACATCTCCGTGTTTTTCGACCATGTTTTCTTGACCCTTCTTCTTGTTTTTCTTTGGATCACAACAATCTGTATACTCGTGTCCAGCTTTCCCAGAGTCGTAGCAATTTCTATCGAATCGCTTCTTGCTTGGATTGTTTTTCTGTCCGGAAGACTTCTTCCTCTTTCTATTATTTTGAGGAGTATCCCCAACAATGTTTTCTCCCATTATTGTTGAGTTTCCACGGCCTCTCTTTTCAGCACCTTTGTTGTCCTCTTCGATTCTCAACCGAACAATGAGATCTTCAAGCGACATCTCCTTGCGTTTGTGTTTCAAGTAGTTTTTGAAGTCTTTCCACAAAGGAGGCAACTTCTCAATCATCGCTGCAACTTGGAATGCTTCATTAATGATAAGACCTTCAATGAAAATTCTGTTATTAAAAATAATAAATTTAATACTTTTGTGATGCCCAAAGGGTAATCTTATGTTTTAGAACTCAATTCCGTATTTCGAGATCTTCAAAACTTCATTTTATTCCTCCTTGATTTGCGTGCGCATTCCGGGCGTGTATCCGGAAAGCTTTTATGTGAATGATTTGTTGACTTTGGTCAATGTTTTCGGTAAACGGACTGGACCTATGTTCTGATGGTCCCAGTGGGTCCATAGTAAAATATGGGACCTGGGCGTATGCCCGTAATCAAATTCCGAGGTCCCTAGCCCGAGAAATGAATTTTTGATGAAAATTGTTAAACTGAAATTATAATGGTTTTAAGAAATTGGTTAATAGTTGATCTCGTTGGTATCAGGTCCGTACTTTGGTTCCGGAACCCGGTACAGGTCCGTTATGATATTTATATATCTATGAAATTTTGGTGAAAAACGGGACTGATTTGGCGTGATTCGGACCTTTGGTTGAGAAAATAGAAGTTTTGAAAATTTCATGCAATTTGGTGCTAAATTTGTAGTTCTAGGTGTTATTTGGTGATTTGATCATGCGAGCAAGTTCTTAGGATGTTTTAAGACTTGTGTGGATGTTTGGTTTGGAGCCCCGAGGGCTCTGGTGAGTTTCGGATAGGCTACGGAGTGATTTGGACTTAAGAAAATTGTTGGTATGCTTCAGGTCCGCAGACTTTGCAATTGCGAGGTCTGGCTCGCAAATGCGAGCCTCGCATTTGCAAAAAATGATCGTATTTGCGAAGCAGGGGAGGGGACTGGGTAGTTCGATTTTGCAAAGAGTTGACCGCATTTGCGGAAGTCCTGGTTCGCATTTGCGACTTGGACTTCGCATTTGCGATGGCAGCAGAAATGCTAGTTCGCATTTGCGATACTTTTCTCGCATTTGCGAGCTTCGCAAATGTGAAGCTCAGGACGCAAATGCGACATCTGCAGCTGATAAGTTCGGACTTAGACGGAAATTTTCATTCATTCTCCCATTTTTCAAAACCTAAACCTCAAGAGGCAATTTCTTCCCCAAATTATAGGTAAATGATTCTTAACTCATTTCTTTCAATCTTTTGCATCTTTTTACAAGATTTCATTATAGAATCTAGGGTGGAATTGGCTGTTTTGGGGTAGAACTTAGGAATTTCAAAATTTGGGGATTTAGACCTCAAATTGAGGTCGGTTTTGTAAAACCAATTATATATCAAGGCTCGGGGGTGAATGAGTAATCGGGTTTTGGTCCGGATTTCGGGTTCTGACCAAGCGGGCCCAAGGTCGACTTTTAACTTTCTGGAAAAATTTTGGGAAACTTATACTTATGCATTGGAATTGATTTCTTTAGCGATGATTGATGTTATTAAGTTAATTATGACTAGAGGAAAAGCGGTAATTGAGCTTTGAATTGGCCGTTGGGTTGAGGTAAGTGTTGTGTCTAACTTTGACTTGAGGGATTAGGGATCCCCGACTTAATTGCTATGTGAAAAAATCCATGTGTGTGGCGTATAGGTGAAGTGACGAGTACCTATACACCGCCAAATTATTTGTTTAGCATGTTCCCTTCCTTGTTCCTAATATATTATTTCCTGTCTTAACTGCTACATGTTTATTGGTGCTTCCATGTTTAATTGCTTCTTGTTAGATGTTGTATTCTTTATTGAAGGTAGTAACTATTCTGTAGTTTCATTTTGCTACATTATTGGTTTAAGTTGGTTTATCGGTGTATCATGGTAAATTTTGGTTGGTCTCGCTGTTTGGTAGTAATTGAGTGAAGTTTCATAAATGTATAGCCTTCCATTTGTTTGGGTTTGAGGCATAACTATTGTGGAGGGTTTTGAGCTGAATTGTGAAATACTTGTTCTTAATGTGCGATTGGTACTGATATGGTGGGATCGGGTTGCACGCCGCAACAGGAGGAATAAGGATGATATGTTGAGGAGGAATAATGGTTAAATGTGATTGTCTGGTAGGATCGAGTTACGTGCCGCAATAGGAGTTATAAGGGTGGACTGGTGGGATCGGGTTGCACGCCACAACAGGAGGAATAAGGGTGATATATTGAGGAGTAATAAGGGTGGACTGGTGGGATCGGGTTGCACGCCGCAACAGGAGTAATAAGGGTGAATGTTTATATTGTTATTGAGTATATGGTGGGATCAGGATGCGCGCCGCATCATTTTGTTGTTTATGTATTCATCTTCTGCTGTGATTTATTTCTGTAGTATTGTAACTCTCTTAAGGATTGGTTATAGCTGAGTACTGGCGAGACAATTGGGTTCCGTATTTATTTTTGTGTTGCAATTTACTGTTCCATTTCGTTCCGTACTTCCTTTTTGCTTTATTATATATCGTATGCAGGTTATATTGTAAATGCCCCGCTGTAGCCTCGTCACTACCTCGTCGAGGTTAGGCTCGGCACTCACCAGTACATGGGGTCGGTTGTACTGATACTGCACTCTGCACTTTCTGTGCAGATTTCGGAGCTAGTAGTGGCTGATCAAGAGGCCGGTTGCAGATACTTCATCCAGGAGACCCAAGGTAGTCCTGCTGGCGTCCGCAGGCCCTGGAGTCCCCTCCTTTGTTTCTATTTCCCTATTTTCTTTTCTTTCGAGACAGATGTACTTCTTTCAGACCAGTATTTGTAGTAATTCGTAGTATGTTCGTAGATTGTGACACCAGTTTTTGGGTGGTAATAGCTTCGGTATTATTAATAGTATATAGATGGCTCGTTTATTATGTACTTTTGCATTTAGTGTTGTTAATTTTAACTTTAAAATATAAAAGGAAAAAGGTGAATAGGACTCTAACGTTGGCTTGCCTAGAGAGTGCGATGTTAGGCGCCATCACGGTCCCGACGGTGGAAAATCCGGATCGTGACAACTTTCAACATCAGTATTAATTCGACGTATACCTTCAGCAAGGGGATCGTGAATAATAACTTGCAATTTCTGGACTTGGGTAATAACAGACTTGGTATCTACCATTTTGTAGTCCAAAAATTTAGCGGCAACAAATTTCTTCAACCCGGCATCTTCAGTTTTGTATTTCCTCTCAAGCGCAATCCACAGTTCTTTTGACGTCTCCACATTACTATAGACATTATACAGAGAATCTTCCAGTCCACTAAGAATGTAATTCTTGCATAGAAAATCAGAATGTTTCCACGTCTCAGTCACGAGAAAGCATTCATTTTCTGGAGTTTCGTCGGTAGAACAGGAACATCTTCCTTAATGAACTTCTACAGACTTAAAGTCGTCAAGTAAAAGAACATCTTCTGCTGCCACCGCTTGAAATCAATCCCGGAAAATTTTCCGAATTTTTCTGCCGGTGTTGTTCGGCTTGTCGATGCATTGGCAGTCACCAGCGGAACAGTCCGGTTTCCGTTGTCATTCTTCATTTCTGTAAAAGAATGACACAAACAAACGTTTAAAAACTGGAGTAGAAAATCATGTAGATTTTAATCTCCAATGAGTAGAAAACAGCCACGAAGGCTTTAATCTCCAAAACGGGAGTAGAAAAACCACAAAGATTTTAGTCTCCAGAGCAGTAAGTATAGCACAAATACAGAAAACAATTAAATTAAGCTTGTTAGTAAACTGTATTTGTAAAATAATTCTGGAGAAGATAAAATAACATATAAACAGAAATGTAAAAGAAACAGAATTTAATCCGAGCCCACTGAATTCACAGTGTTTCCTTAAGGAATTTAATCCCCTACTAGTACCCAAGGTTGTGGATTATTTTCTCCTAGGATAGAACGAATTATACACTGGTGTAGCGGTACTTCAAATCCTAGTGTTTCACCGCACACAAAGATCGGTAGTAAATCACACTTACTATTGCTTTCTTTGTAGTTAAAACAATGCAGAAGAAAGGAGGAGAATTCAGAAATTCGTACGGAAATCTAAGAGAATGAGCTGCTATATATAGCCGATATGTTGAGTTCAAATTGAAGAGGTGCAACTCTTTATAAGGGCTATCACGATCGTTTACGCAAAACGGCCATAACGTAAATGGCTATTTACACAACAATAAAATGGTAATTCAAAACCTTATTTTTCCGTTACAAAAACGGAAAACGGACTGGAAGGAAACTTAATTTCTCGTTACCAAAAACGGAAAACGGACGTTGAGGAAACGGAAAATTAATAATATTACGTTAATATTTCCTATTAACAAATAAATTTAGTCCAAAAATTTATCAATCAATCATTTGACCAAATTCAAATCCGAAGCCGAGCGACGACGGCGCGGGGCTTGCCTTCTTCTTAACTCCTTAAAAACTAGAAGAAGAGCAATTGTATATATCCATCACAAATCTTTTCCTCTTCCAATATGGGACAATGTCCCTTTGTCAAGGAAGGAAACTCAAATATTTCATTTTCCCTCCATTTCCCATTCACCCTCTTTTAAGCTTATTTTAGCTTTAAAAACTCAACAGCAAGTGCTATAACAAACAAGAAACAATATGCGAAATTGTTATAAATATATTATATTATGGGTGTTCATTTAGTACTCCGTTGTAAATAAGCTTCCTAAAGAAGCTTATCCATATGGTACTCCGCCGTAAATATGTTTATCTATTTGGTACTCTATTGGAAATAAGCCTCCTGAAGAAGCTTATCATTTCGGTACTCCTTTATGGATAAATATTACTCCCGGTAGAAGATTATCTATATCTGATACAGTAGCAGCTTACACAGCAGCTTGCAGTAGCAGCTTACACAGCAGGTTGCAGTAGCAGCTTACACAGCAGCTTCCTTTCTTCTATAAATAGAGGAGATTTCAGT